GATCACAAAGTCAAGAGATGGAGACCAACCTGGCTAACATGGTGAAGCCCCATCTCTACTAAAAAAAATTGGCCAGACTCAGTGGCTCATGCCTGTAATCCCAGCATTTTGGGAGGCCAAGGCGGGTGATCACAAGATCAGGAGTTCGAGGCCAGCCTGGCCAAAATAGTGAAACCCCGTCCCCACTAAAACAAAAAATTAGCTGGGTGTGGTGGTGGGTTCCTGTAATCCCAGCTACTTGGGAGGCTGAGGCAGAAGAATCTCTTAAACCCGGGAGGTGGAGGTTGCAGTGAGCCGAGATCTCACCATTACACTCCAGCCCAGGCAACAGTGTGGGGCTCTGTCTCAAAAAAAAAGAAAAAAAAAATGATCTGTGTTTTTCCTAGCTGTTAAAAAAGCTCCTTTTACTTCAGAGAGGAGATGTGTTGTATGGTCATCACATACACCTCTGGTAAATTAAACCTGTACTGTGTTTAAGTTCAGTAGAAACCAATGCAAGTTTTAATTTGAGAGGCGCAAAAAGCTCTCCAACATCACTTATTAATGTATCTACAAGTGGTGAAGACTACTGTTTCATCTCTATGAAAAATAAGCATTTAAAGCTGGGCACAGTGGCTCAAGCCTGTGCTCCCAGCACTTTGGGAGGCCGATGTGGGCAGATCATGTGAGGTGAGGAGTTTGAGATCAGCTTGGGCAACATGGTGAAACCCCATCTCTACTAAAAATACAAAAATTAGCCAGGTGTGGTGGCGCATGCCTGTAGTCCCAGCCACTTAGGAGGCTGAGGAGGAGAATCCCTTGAACCCAGGAGGCAGAGGTTGCAGTGAGCTGAGATTGCACCACTGCACTCCAGCCTGGGTGAAAAACTGAGACTCTCTCATATTTTATAAGGTTGTAGAAACTGACAGATTGGTATAATATATTCTTTAAAATTTTTTTTTAATTTTTATTTAGAGACAGGGTCTTGCCCTGTCACTCAGGCTAAAGTGCAGTGGTGCAGTCTTGGCTTACTTCAGTCTTGACTTTCCAGGCTCAAGCAGTCTTCTCACCTCCGCCTCCTGAGTAGCTGGGTCCACAGGTACACTCCATCACCCTGGCTAATTTTTGTATTTTTTTGTGGAGACAAGGTCTCGGCGTATTGCACAAGCTCGTCTGGAACTCCTAGGCTCAAGTGATCTGACCACCTCAGCCTCCCAAAGTGCCAGGATTATAGGCATCAGCCACCTTGCCCAGCCACTGTCCCTTATTTCTATCTCTGCTTTCTTTCCATTTAAGTTAGAAAATAGTCTTCCTGTCAGTCTTCCTCCATTCCAGTGATGGGCTCATAAATGTAACTCTCCTGGTTGGGAAGCTTTCCTCTTTCTGGGTAACTGACATTTCTCGTCTTCTTGGGGCTAAATACATGTGCTAATACTGACAATAGCATCAAAACCTTTCCTGTTATCCCACTGCCCTTACCTGTTGCTTTTGTGCTTTTGCTTTACTTTAGCCACACCATGTTACCATATGTGCCTCTTCCAGGCATGGAAGCTACATATAACACCAGCGGCAGTCAGACGAGGTAAGCACATGAGGTCTCAGTGTGTGCGTGTGTGTGTGTGCGTGTGTGTGCAAGAGAGAGAGAGTGCATGCATAGGTGGCGTGGATCACCTGTGGCATGAATCTGACCTCTCATAAACCTGATCTATGTCTCTTAGATAAACATCTCTGAGATTGAAATGTGTTCTATTACAAGTAGCAACTAGGAATGTGTAATCAATACCATTTGTTAAAAAAATGAAAATCTCTGGCCAGCTTATTGTACCAGAAGTCCCCTCTCAAGTTATTTCATGTTTTATAGTCAGCCAGTCCCTGGACAGGATTGATTTCATCTGATCACTGTTCATTTGTGCAGTTTACAAGGTATCTTCCCACCCAAAAAGTGTTCCTTCTTACATTTTTTCTTATAAAACTCCATAGCAATGAAATTGATCTCACATTCTTGTAATTTTTTTTTTTTTTTTTTTTTTNTTGAGACAGAATCTTGCTCTGTTGCCAGGCACCAGGCTGGAGTGCAGTAGCACAATCTCGGCTCACTGACATCTCCGCCTCCTGGGTTCAAGCAATTCTCCTGCCTCAGCCTCCCTAGTAGCTGAGACTACAGGCGCACGCCACCACACGCAGCTAATTTTTATATTTTTTAGTAGAGACGGGGTTTCACCCTGTTGGCCAGGATGGTCTCGATCTCTTGACCTTGTGATCTGCCTGCCTTGACCTCCCAAAGTGCTGGGATTATAGGCGTGAGCCACCATGCCCAGCTGAAATTTTTTTTACATATGTAGACATAGGCTATGTCTGGAAGTGACTAGAAAGCAGGTTAACTGGATATATTATTCCTAGAAAGAAAGAAAATGTCTTGAGGCGTAAGTGTTAGACCTAGTTGAATGTCCTGGAGGTAGAAAGGGAACCCCTCTCATATCTTTCTTCTCTTTCTCTCCATGGTACTAGGTTGGAGCCTCCATTCCCTGCCTTGGTACCAAAGTCTTGCTTGGTAGCAGAAGCAGCTGTCAGCAAGCTCCTGCTTTCAGCCTCTGAGTTCCAAGTTCCTGGGTTGGATGAGCTGGATGGTGTGACAGCAGCATGCCCCTGCCCACAGAGCAGCCCTCAGGAACAGAAAGAGGTAAGTGTAAAGTGCTGGTGGGGTCAAGTGACAGTGGCATTGGAGGTGGCCATTGTTAACTCACATCACGTGATAGTTACAGACTGGCCCCTGAGTATCTTCACGAGCCACTTTTAGTGTCAGCAGAGTTCTGGAGAGTACTAAGCCAGGAGTTTTTCTCTTGGCCAGTAAAAGACACAGTGGATATTTTAATCTGCATTGTTTTCCAGATACTTTTTTCTTGGCAACAGCATATAACAGTGTTTAGAAAATTGGACCAAAGAGTTGCTTTGTGCATTTAAAGATGAGTGGGCCAGGCACGGTGGCTCACACCTGTAATCCCAGCACTTTGGGAGGCCGAGGCGAGTGGATCACGAGGTCAAGAGATCGAGACCATCCTGGTCAACATGGTGAAACCCCGTCTCTACTAAAACTACAATAAATTAGCTGGGCATGGTGGTGCGTGCCTGTAATCCCAG